CCCCAAAACCCCAAAACCCCATACTCCTTGTATCAATTTGGAAATTAAATAGATCATTAAAATAAATATTAAAAATGGGTTCATCAGAATCAAGACCTAGATCATAGTCACATCAAATTGGATTTGGAGAAAATATTAATTCTATTGATAAGGTGAATACTAGAAAAATAAGATTGGATTAATCCTTCGATTTTGATAGAAACTATAAGTAAAACAGTATCCCAAGGAAAAGCTAAAATAGTCAAAATTATTATAACCAGAATAATGATGATTCAATACATTATTAGACTCCTCCCGCTTAAAATGATGATGGATTTGAGCATTTATAAAGCCTGAATAAGGCTCAGTGTATAATTTGCAAAGAAACCTATCCTATTTATGAAAGCTCAGAAAATGATTAGTCTAGAGTAAGATTCCAGCACTTTTGCTCTGATCAGCTTTACAATTAACTTAAAAAATAAATTCCATAAGCTCAGCTGTATGAACATTTACTATAACTGAAGATAAAACTGTTAGATAGTAAGAAAATGCTATATAATTTTTTTTGGAATACAACAATGCTAACCGAATATGATCTAAAGACTGAGGAATTTGATTATAAAGAAGTTTTATTTGAATGTAAAATACCTACTATGTCTAGATTTATTGCTTGCCATAGCAGCAACTTAAATTTTGCTAATTCTAATTCAAATAATACCCTTACTGATTAGACTAGAGTTTTCATTATAGGTGGCTATATTGATGAAAATGGAGGAAAAGATATAAAAGCAGTCAATTGGAATTTGGAGTATATTAAGGAACCCTGCTTCATTTAGCCAAAGAGTGGAATGCTGAGTAATAGATTTAATCATTGCATGATATTTGATGAAAAAAGGGGCAGGATATATGTTTTTGGTGGTTTGAGTGATACATAAAGTATCAAAATGATGTTCTACTAGGATGATAGTGACGAAGATGATGATTTTAAAAGACCTAATAGTTTCTTACAATCAGGTGAGTACTATGATCTTAAAAATGATAATTGGGTAAATATTAAAAATATGCATAGCCATAGAGAGCAAGCTACATGCACAATATTCAAAGAAGATTATGTCTATCTCTTTGGCGGGATAGATAGATTCTCAAGAGATCCTTATAGTCTTTTCAATACAATCGATAAATATAATATTTCTAATGATGATTGGTATCAACTTAAGATCAGAAATGTTTCACTACAGCTAACAATTATCAGAGCTTGTTCTCTTTAAATCAGCTCTAAAGAGATAATTATTTTCGGAGGAAAGTAGGGCAATGAAAATAGAAGAGACTCTATTTATGAGTACAATGTAGAGACAAATGAACTAATACTTTCTCAGAATAAACTTCCTTCTGAGATTGAATTTCACCATCCAACTCACTTGATTAATGGTGTCCATTATATGTTTGGATGGAATAATAGAGGTCTTCTACTTCTCTCCTATTCTATGATTAAGTAGAGCTTCAACTTAGTAAATCAAATGAATATATGAGACTCCAAAATAAAGAAGAAGTTTGAGATATTAATTGATATAATCTTTATCTAGATTGATTTTTATGAAATTAAGATTAATTTAATAAATTCAGATTAACGCTTATTTGATTGCGTTTGATATCCTCTTACTAATTTTGATTTCAACTTTATGGTGCGTTTATCTAAGAGAGGAGTTTGCAAATGTAGTTGAACTTAGGTCTTTAATCTGGTTCGGTTTGCCAGCATATTCTAATTAGCTTAGCCATTTCTTCATCGCATCCATGGTCATTTTCAGATGCCAATAATATTTGGGGCCTTGATTACTCATTAACTACATAATTTTAGCAAAGTTTGAGATCATTATCAAAAGGAATCATTTCATGCCACAACTCCCACAGAAGCATGCCATAACTATATGTGTCCATCTCTGGTTCAGGGTCTTCCATTTTCTTTAAATTTTTGAGACTCTCTGGAGGAGACCAAACAGTAACGCTTCTGTAATCATAAAAAGTATTGGCATATTTCTAAATAGGCAATAATTCTAAATCACCTAATATGACCTTCACCTTTTCTTGACTAAATTCAATGAAAATATTATGAGATGTCAAATGACCGTGACAAATGTTTGGATTGAATTGCTAGAAAGTATAGAATATTTTTGCAATTTCAAAACTTATGTGATACTTAACTCTGTAATCAAGATTTTTCCTAAGATCTTGTCTCTCAGAACTATGCAGCAATTCGAAAAGGGACATTTACTCTTTGTAAAAGACATTTATTTGTTAATCTTTAATGTAGTATCCTATTGGGAATAAAGTAAACTAGGTCATCTTAATCATCTTCAATCTGTTCATCTCCCCAAAGAAATCCTCGATGACATAAGTAGTTACTCTTTCAAACTCAATCTTTCTACAGATAACAGGTTGCTACTTTAAAGTAGCCTTGTATAACTATCCTAATCTAAATTTCCTATCTCTCTCACTTGAATACCAAGATTTTTGGAATTTTTCGAACAACTAGAAATTCTTGGGCATAATCAAGAGTTTCTCTTCAATTTTTGATTTTTCATTGTTCTTAAATGACATCTACCTTATATTCATGTTGCCTAGAATGACTCTTTCTGGTAATAAACTAAATTCTTATTATTTAGATGCAGCCTTTTAAGCTTCCTGGATAAGTACACTGTCTTTGTCAGAAGTTATATTGATATCAGAGTTTTTAGATTCTACATCATAATTAATGTTCATTGCAGAGAATTACTAACTCTAACTTTTCTATTTTAATATTGGAGAAGTCATGAATTACATGCTATTCTCGAGTTGATCTTTGTTTTCGATCATGGCTTCATTATCATCTTCCTCATCTTCAGTATCTTCAATCAAACCATCTTGAGTTTTCTTGAATATTTCCATGAATTTTATCTCTAGGATTGAAATGTAGGGAATGATGTCAGTAATTAAGTTGTAAATAATCATTAAGATAGCTTGGACAATTTCTGATGTGCCAATATCCGTAAGGTTTATAGAAATATATGCAATCTTTAAAGAAAATGCCACAGTCCATAAAATAAAGATAAAGCCAACATATTTTAGATTCTATCTGTGTAATTCTGATTTGTAAGGGCTGCCTGAGCTTTTAATATAAACAACGAAAATTCCAATTAAAAACCATACGATCAGAACAGACCATGAACTTAAGAATACGATCTCAAAAGTGCTATACCTTCTGACCTGTATCATTGCGATAATTATATAAACAAAGTTTATTAGCACGAAGACAGATATGAGAAACAAACTAGAGCCAAAAAGGATCCTGTTCATCATATTTAATTCTATAAGTCATCTTAAGTAAGATGATAAAATTAGTTACAATTTTTGTTCTTATAGATAGCTATTGGGACCTTTGATTGCAGGATCTATCTATATACTAACACAAACATCATATAATAGGTAATCATCATTAAAATACTTGGTACTAGAAACAAATGGAATCTATAGAAGAAGCATTTTAAGTTAAGAGATATTACTCAACAGTTGGATCAGGTTATACCCCCAACAATACCCAGAAAATGATTACAGAAATCAATATTTGAACTATTACCAAAGCGTAGAACACTCTCGTTATCATATAATCATTTCTAGTTCTCCATGATCTATATTGCACATTCAATTAAACTCTATTCATTACCTGGAAAGAGCAAAGATAAATAAGACTGTATATATAATTCCAAGTATAGAGGATACAATATTCTACTAATCTGTGTCCATTGCCATTTTCAATATTAATCTGTACTTTTTTGATATTATAAAGTATTTTGAGAAAACAATAATTGGCATTACTAAATCTACTCTTTTGGGGTTTTGGGGTTTTGGGGTATATTTCACTGAAAGT